TGTAAAGCATGGATGTCCAGTTCTCACTCGACAGGATTTGATACATGCCGAGGAACGAATTGTAAATGGTGAAAAACGAGACTTCGTTGAGGTCGCCGTCATCGCTGTGCTTCGGTATCTCGCCCCTGAATAGTTGAGCCGCCAGGATGGACATGAGAAATGTGATGAGAAAGACGAAAAGCATCAGGTTGGCAATACCGTTGGAGTTTCCCAAGACCATTACGATGAGCTTTCTCGTCATCGGCACCGCTAGAACCAATCGATACACCCGCAAGATTTGGAAAACGGTCAACCAGGCATAAGGTTCTCCCGAGTTACGGATTGGGGGAATGAGAATAATGCTCGTGATAACAGCTAGGCCTAGGTCGATAATGTTGCGTCGGCTTTTGTGGAAAGTGCGCCAACCGGCGGCAATGCGTACGGCAATCTCGAAATCCAGTATGATTGTGACGACAACCTCGACGGCATCAATGAACCGACCGCGACTGTCTGACATCCGAGAGCTTCGAAAACACTGAGCCAGCAGACCGAAAGCGATGACTGCTATCCACAAGAAAGAAGTTTGATCGTAGATCTTTCGCAGTGCCGAAACCTTCTGTGGTGCCTCTTCAACTGGCTCTTGAACCAGTGGCTCCTCTTCCGTAGTGAAAGCGCTCGCCTTGCTCTCCTCCCGAATGACTTGGAAGGAAGACGTGATGACAGCAATGAGCAAGTTTACGAGCCACAACATGAGTATCATGATACCTGCCCCAAAGAACAGTGCCGCGGGAAGATAGTCCGAGTTGGTTGTGTAGTACATGATGTCGGTGAATGTGTTTGAGCTGATGATCACGAAAACCATCTCGATAGACTGGAAAATGTTGTCGAAGCTAACAGTTCCGTTGAACGGGTTTTCCTGTTGTAAACATATCGATCCTCTAGGACAGATGAATCCTTTCCCAGCTTTGCTACCGTTCTTGAAGTTGTCCAAGACGGCATCATTATCTACCAGGACCCAGGGCATGGTGTCTCCCGTAACATTATTGAGGAATCCACCGCAGAATTGCATATCATTGGTGAAAGATTTAGTCTTGTTCGTGGGGTCTGTTGGGTCAAGCCAGACGCATTGGCGACTCAAACTGGCTTTGAAACTCTGCACACCAATAATGGCAAACAAGATCCAGAAGAAGGCTATGAGGAAGGCCACGCGAACGAGCAGCGGCGCCGCCTTTTTTAAACTTCTCAGGATGATCTGCAGGATGTCAGTATGGCATACACTTTCAAAAGCAAGGGACACTTACAGCTGTGCCGTTTGTAAGAGCAAGTAACCTCAGAATCCGCAAGCAGCTGATCATGCGGAACACGTAAAGGTGTTTTTGGCTCTCAATGCCTGTGATACTGAGAGCGAAGGATATCCAGAATGCGACAACAGCTAAGAAGTCTAGGCGATTGAAAGAATGACGCAAAAAGGCTCGTCGCGCGAGCTGAAATCTCTGATGTTCTTCGACGGTTTGAGGTAGCGTCTGGCCTTGCATGATAGTAAATGACCGCTGGAAAGCAGAGGGCCCAAGGTTGATCTGTCGCGTAGCTTTGACAGACTTTTGTCGTTGGGGTTGAAATATATTCCTGTACTGGTCCACGACGGCCGCTCTTACTCCCCGTTTTCGATCGATTGTGCTGTATTCCGAAGCATTCAAGATGAAGCCGGAAACCAGAATGCGAGCAATCAGCTCGAGAGTGAAGATGGCAAACAGTACTAACATTGCCCAGTCAATCCACGTGATACCCCAACGGTCAGGGCGGGGGTGGGCGAAGACATCCGGTGCAGATTCTATTGCCAGTAGAACAGCTTGGCAGATGATGAGGATGAGAATGAACGGCTCGGTGAATGGGTGCACCAACAAGTCGCATAACTTGGTTCGTATCGGGTGGTCCGGAGGGAAAATGCCTAAAGACTTTCCTTTAAGGGGGTTCTTCATGGGGACACGCGGCTGGAGGGGAGGAGCAGGCTCTGCGAAGATGGCTGCGGCCTCTGGCGTCTTTTCAGGCACATGCGAGAAATGAGAATGATAGGAGGTATCGGTGAACATCTGCGCAGAATTGTGCAGCTGTTGCCGACGGTCCGGCACCGGGGAGGGTGACCGACCGCGTGAATTGCGCTGGTCGATTATTTCGCCCTCGCCGCTGATGTTAACAACACGCTGCGACATGGCTCGCATTATCGAGCCAGCTCTGTACAGCGCGCCAGCCGTAGACGGTGAGCGAGATCTTCTCTGATCTCCTCCTGGGCTAAGCGTGTTTCCGTAGCTGCGTCGTCCGGCACCCATGCCGCCGGGCTCCAGATCATAGCCCAAAGATCTTGCATCTCGGGTTCTTGAAGTCGTGTTGTCGATGTCGGATACAGTCTGAAAGCTGTCTCTGGGCTGAGCATCTCCCGCTGCATTGGCGCTTAAAGACCCGGAGATGGGCTGGGCTCTTGAAGTGAGAGGCACTCTATCCTCGTAGTAGTCGTTATTTGCACCTTCATCGTAGTACGGAGAAGGACGATCAAGCGAGTCCAGAGATGGTGAGTTCAATCGTGGGATTGGCGGTGGGGGAGGTTGGTTTATATCGGGTGGAAGTGCGAACTGAAGCGCGGACGCGTCGATGGGGGACTCTGGGCTTCCTGAGCTTGTCGGAGCGGCGACGTACGGCTGTTCCCAGTAGGTCGAGAGGCCGAGCCGATTGGGTGACAGCGGCGGTGCTGAAGTCTGGCCTTGACGCCCTCGCTCATACCCAGTTTGGGAGTCTGCCTGCAGACGGTCCCCGCCGGAGCCTGTGCTATCGTCTGGTCGCGAATTCATCTCGAATTGATGATTCGAATCCAATCGAGGTTCAAAAGAGTTTTGAGGTTTGCGGAAGCCACCGCGTCCTTGACACAGCTGTCGGAACCGGTCCGCAACGTCGTGAGGGGCGAGTGCGGTTGTGTCTATGACGGTGGAAGAACAAGACGCATGTTCCGTATTATTGTCGGGTCTCGATGAGGCCCATGTCGAGGCGCCGGAAATGCAACACCTTGGTATGGGTCGCGGGGTCGGAAAAGTTGTCGTCGGTCGCAAACTGGGTAGGTATTTCCCGGTGTCGACAAACGCGAGTGTCGAAGCAGAGTCAAGGCGGGAATACAGGCTGAAATGATGGCAGGTCTGGGATCTAGGGGACTTCGAACACCGACGCAATCGTCAGCGCGAGAATATCTTTGCGATTCCGTTTCAATCGAATCGGAGCCGTGTTCAGATGGTGGGTGATGGAATTGCGGCAGCTGTCGAGGCCGGATGGACGACGAGTTGTTCGTTACTGCTAATTGTCCTTGGTCAGAGCCTGAGTTCCCAAGAGGAAATAAGTCAGCACGCAGCAATTCGAGCACTGTAGAGAGACTTGGCGATGTGGGACGTCCTCGGCGAAGTAGTTCTATTTTCAGCGTTTAAGGCGGATGGTCGGCATCGTCTGCTGCTGACAAGGACACGAAGAGCAAACTGTGATTGGTGGTGAGCCAAAATCTACCCCTACGTTACAGAAGTAAGGTACAGATGTAGGTCCTTTGGGTACCTTAAGTAGCCTTGGCGGAGCCCAGCCAGGGGGTTGTGAATACACTGTAGTCCCAGGAACTTGGACACTGTCAAGGGGTTGCCAAAGTAGCTGGACAGTGCCCATGGAAGCCGTGTTTCACTGTACGTATCCACCAGGTCTCGAAACGGCGTAACAGTCGGGTGTCAGCGTGTCGGCGTGGGCGGCCCTGTCCTGAACGATGAATATTGGTGCCGGGAGCCCTGGATCGGGAGTCCTCCCTCATCCCCTGGCGGGGGACTAGGTAAGGTGAGACGGTAGCCTTTGGAAGAACAGCACACGCATGAACGACATACAGAACTCAACGTACACACGTTCAATACGAGGACTAGTCACATCAGGCATTAAGAGCCTCAAAACTGCATCAAGCATGTGGTGTCGTTGCTCAGCTCTGCCTAACTAGGCGATTTGCGCAAGATCAATTCCGGTGCCACCTAAAGCCAAATTGCTGCCTCCCCTAACGCTTAATCAGAGCACAGGTGAACCATAGGTAGGTATCCAGGTATCAAGGCAGATTATTCCAAGGAACTGAGTAAATACGAACAAGCCAAGGGACTTCGGGGATTTAAGCCGGTTCTATAGGACGGGAACTTTAAGTATTCAGACGAAGTGAGGGAAAACGGCTTGGAGATAGATATTCTACATCCGGCTACCTAAGGTACATATGGACAAGGTAGTGGGGGGGGATGCTGAGTCTCCTTATGAAGCTTATGTAAAGTAACATAAGGGACCTGGCGTACCTTATGTAAGTACCTATCATGTCCGCGGCAGAACACGGGCCCGCACTGGACGCAACCTTAGGGTACCTACCTTACCCGTCAGAAACTAACCCGCCTAACCCGACGCGTCGCCGGTCGGTCCTGACGGCAGGCACGTCGTGTTAAGTTCGGGTGCCTTAGGTAGGTAATCTTACACGGTCGCGTACCTGGCAGCTGAGAAGTACCGCGCCGTACAAACTACACGCCATCGCTACCTCACCTCTAGCCTTGCAAAACCACCCCGGACGGCACCCATCACGGCACCTGCATTCTAATCCTTATGACGACCCCATGTCAGATTTTGATTGCTTCTCCCAAGGAGCGAAACTACGTTACGCCGGATTCCTCTTGTCCTTCGCCCTGTTGCATTCTTACCACTCTTGCCGACTCGGATAGCGCTTTCGCATCTTACCTGACGTGCAGTCGCTCGGCGCCACTGCGCCGCAGGAAACTCCCTTGTCTCTTCAAAGCTTCTTTTTTCTTCGCGACGTCTTCACCATCAACCTCTACGTCGCCTTGTCTTGCCATTGGTAGTTTCAACCCTTTCTCGGCCACGACATGCCCACGACGCGACGCCTCGGGTAGTAATCCTCAACTGACAAAGACATATACCTGGTTTCCAGAAGGCGCTCTTAACCTCGCGACACACCAATCCAGAAGATGGTCTCGTCACGCAAACGGAACATTGAAGAAATCGACGTTGTAGAACGAGAGGAACCAACCCTACTCCATCGCATTCGCAGCCAATGGCAATTTGCCAACCTGTGTCAATGGATCTTTCTTTTCGGGAAGGTCGTTAAGATTGACGACAGTCTGGACACCGAAGTAAGCTGCCTGCCCTTCCCAACCGTGCTTACCAACTTTGCAATTACTGACCCGCGATGCCACAGGATATCGAAACCGAATGCCTCAAGCCAAACGCTCCCGTGCTCCAGGACATTGGCCTGGCTCTTCTCAAGTTCATATCGTCGCACAGAGGCTTGACGTACGCTTCAACCCAGATCCCTCGCGTTTTCCGACCGCTGACCAGGAGCAGGCACGAATTGTTCGACGAGTACACCAGAAGGCAATATTTAGCTAGAGCGCCCGAAAAGAATCCGTTTGGTTCCGATGGGGTTGCTGCAAAATTCGCTGACTTTGACGTCTTAAGAAAGGCAGCTTCTCACTATTGCCAAGTTATCAAGCTTCATTGCTGACCATGCAATAGATTCAGATTCTCCAACAAATGACACAATGGATTATGCTGCGTCCCGAACGCGTAAGGGAGAAGATGGAGGAACAGAAGGATGTTGACCAGGCCAGCTGGGTAAGTGCCTGAAATTCGGCGAGTCTCGGTATGCCGTACTAAGATACCTGAACAGCGGATAGAACCCCTGGGTTGGGATAGGGATGACCGCACCTACTTTGTCCTCGATGACAATAGGGTATACCGCCTCACCGATGCTCCACCAAGACAAGTAACACCGAAGAAGAAGTCCAAGCCGACCAAGTACGGCTCTCGGTCTAACAAGAGGCGCCGCGTCTCTGCAGCAGAGGCTGCCGATGAACCGGATCAAACCCCAAAAGAATCCACGGAAGCGCCTTCGCCTACTCGCGAGGACGACGGTCTCGGTGGCATGAAGTGGGAATGTGTTGCTGTGACCCTAGAAGAGGTCCAAGGGCTTATCGCCTCTTTTCACAAGACCAAGGACGACAACGAGAAGATACTGCGAGACTCTCTGCGAGACCACTTGCTGCCCATTTTGGAGAAGCAAGAAGAGTCGAGGAAACGCAAAGAGCAACAACGCGAGAAGGAGCTTCTTAATTTGGCGAAAATGGCGAATGCCAAACGATCAAGCAGGATCGCTGGCAAAGTTGAACAACAGAAGCAAGAGGAGAAGGCCAAGGAGGAGGCCCAAGTGGTCCAGGCTCAACAAGTTGCTGCAAGAAAAGAGGAGCAACAACGGCTCAAACTCGAAAAAGAGCGAGATTCGAGGCTGTTGTCCCGTGAAAAGCGCCTGAAAGAGCGGGAAGCCCGGCGCTCACAGCACGAAAGGGAACTCTCTCAGCTTTCGGAAGACAACCGCAGTGGTTCAGGTCGCGTATCTGAACGTCGACTGCAGGCTGAGATAGAGAAGAACAAGCGTGCGCTTCAGGAGCTCGATGACGAAGACGAAGAGGATGACTGGATCTTCGACTGCATTTGTGGCGTTTATGGCCAGGTAGATGACGGGACGCATAGTATTTCCTGCGAGAAGTGCAATGTCTGGCAGCACAGCAAGTGCGTAGGCATAAGTGAGACCGAGGCTGAGAGAACAGAATTCCACTTCGTCTGTCAGACTTGCCGGCGACGCGCGGAGGAGGCGGCTGCAAGGCCACGGACGACAATTAAGCTGAAGGTCAGTCGACCCTCCGACTCGTCACCTGCCAGCCAGCCCCCCACAGCACATAGTCCTCGGCCATCTGCTGGAATCATTGTCGAAATTTCATCACGCTCACAACCGATGGATGGACCGAGCGTTACTCAGACCGATGAGAGTACGCAATCAACCTCTTTCTCTGGGGACAAGACTACCCAGCCTGAGTCCAACTCACAAGACGGGAAGACAACCTTCGACGGAGTGTCTCCTGTTGTTACGCCAGTCGCTGGACCATCGGAACCGTCAGACCGGGTCAGAGAGAGAGAATCAGGCAAAACAGGCAGTAATGAGCCAGCGACACCCAAGGCTGATGACTCAGTCGATGTTGCAGCGCACTTCATGGCTAACGGGTCCGTATCAACTGGTCGCGATGGATTACCGTCGAGCCCCACTCGACTGGAGGCAACTCCTGGCCCTGCAGATACTTCATCGCCCAGGCCAGGAGTGTCTAGCTTGACAGCAACCCCGGTTATCAGTCGTGAACATGGCGTTCCTGGCTCAGCGCACTCATCATTCACACTACCCTCAGCTGAAGCTGGGCTTTCCCCGACGAAGCATTCACCTCCTCTGCCCCGTCCGCAACCTCCCAGCATCAAGACACCTGTTTTGCCTGCTGTCCTTCCGCCTGTATCGACGTTGTCACCGTCCCCACGTCAGCAAATTTTGACACCTCCGATCAAGTCTACAGAGCCGGGTCGGCGATCGCTGCCTCCAGGATCGACTCCCGCCATCTGAGCAAAACACATGGGTAATGGGGAACGCGGCAGCAGCAAGAGGTTGATAGTGATGCAAAATGCCTCTTTCATCATGTGGTCTCGAGATGTCCTTATGAGGCAGTGTAGACAGGGGATCAGCCTGAGGACGCACGGGCATTCTTTCTGGCATGACCACGGGTTGATATTAGGTTCGATGGCAGCTCGCGTGGCAGTGGAAGGATGTGGCTGGATAAGTGTATGACGATTGATCTAATAGAGTGTGGATGACCAAAACAGCCTTCACGACGTTTATTCAAGAGCCTTTGGCACATCGAGTCCGCCGTAAAGGCTATGTTCTGCGACCAGAGACCAAGAGTATCAACAGCGGTCTACTTACCTTGGATTAAACAGTGATCTCAACGCGGTAACTTTGTACGCGGGAATTAAATTGGCAAACGCGCGACGCATCACACTTGTCGATGCGCACATTCCGGTTCTCATGGGGTGTCCGACCGATCGGCTTGACATAGATCTGGCGTCGCATGTCTCGATCAGATGCCTTCGGCGAGAGATGACCTCTGCCTGCCTTGTCCGTAAAGCGCGACCGTCAGTGTCATGGCAGTCACGACTGACCACTAGCCTTTTCCCACGGCAAAACTACTGGCCTTGGGTAAGTGACGTGAAGTTACGGAGATGTTGGTTGAGTATTCGCCTTGGACATGTCTGATGCCAGCAAACGGCCCGTCAACTTGGCGGTCGGGTGGGAGCTCAAACGACCCTCATACATGGTGACGCACTGCGGCTGGGTCTCTGGGCAACCGTATGTGAAGACGGGCTGTACGAGACATTCGACTGGTCGTAAACCGAGCGTACCGATGTTTATGTGCCTTGATATACAGGTTGCCAACGAACGGAAGAAGAGCCAAGACCATGCTTTACCACGTGCATGGTACGAGACGGGAACGGGCGGGAATATTGCAGTCCCTCGAGGAAGAGCTCTGCATGAAGAGAGGAATAAGCCAAAGGCGGAGGCAAGAACAGAAAGAGAGAAAACGGAAAGGATAGCAGTGAGACAGGTCGGCGACATACTACTTCCTAGGTATGGTAAGAGTCAGGCCCGGGTCGGAGAGGTTAAGCTAAGCAAAGTTTGGAGAAGAAAATCTCCTTGGCGGCGTCTAGTCTAGTGCCAGATCCAGAGGCATGGCCGGGCAGGTAGCGCGCTATAGCTGCAGACGTAAGCCGCAAGCGCCGCAGGAAAGGAAGGCGACTGGCTCAGAGGATGCGCGCAAAGTCCAGTCCCGGCTGCAATGGCGGCTCCAGGCTGGCTCGTCTTAGCACTTGCTTGTAGCTTCTTCTACTGGCTCTGGAATGGGGTTGACGATGTGCAAGGACACTATTGTCCGGAGGAGACGAGCTGTCGAGCGAGCCTGAGGCGGCACCATCGGTTCTGTCGCCCGCACACTGCCTTGCCTTGGTGGCAGTGGTTGTGGGAGTGATAGTGGCACAAGACGGGCTATCCGAAGAGGCCGGACGGTGCCTACTTTACCTGAGGTAGGTACGGTTCGTTCTTTTGTCTCGGTCTCCAGCTGACTTGTCGAGCGTCCATGGGCTCAATGAGGACCCTCCTAAACTGGAATACGTGCACCGACGATGGGTTCTAGGCTCGGGAATCGGGACCCCAGGTCCAGCTTAGGACGTAAATGTCGGCGGCAAGCAAGACAAACAGTATGCCAACTCATATTACAGGACGGATCAAACACGCGAGAGAGGTCCCTCATCATATGGCGCGGTGCGGAATGTTGGGTAACAGCTCGTTGATTCGCTGCCGCGTCCTATTCAGATTGGCTATGAATGGGAAATGGTGGAATCGGATTCGCAGCAGGGGTGATGGTTGGTAGCGGGCAGCCGGGGTTTGGCGAGAACGGAGGGGGTGTTGGAATGACAGCTGAGTCTCTGGTGAGGTCATGTGGGGTGGACTGCACAAGTACTTCACCCAACTACAGCTTGGTGCAGGCATACCTACACTACCTTAGACACAGATGCGGAAGCGAGATTCACCCAACTCATTCTGTTGGTTGGGGTGGAGAGCAGCCATCTGTGAGGTGTGTCTATCGCCAATTGAGTGCACTCAGTACACCCAAGGCAAGCAGCAAGACAGCAAGCCAGGTGACGATGCGAGGACGGCGATGACGGGAGGACTGCCGGGACAAGTGTGGTTTTACTTAGCTGGTGAGGGATGAGGTTGGGTAAGGTAGGTGCGCAATATGAACAGTTGCAGTGGGTAAAGTGGATCAAGTAAAAGTTGAGAGACGGCAAGGAGGTGTTGTGTGGAATTGATCCTGCTTGCTGCGTAGCATTCATAGACGGGAATAGAAGATGGGTGCCCGGGATGACATGGACATGGACGAGGAAGGTCTTCTTTCTCCGCTTACCTACCACCTTGCACCCGCCACGTACCTCAGTATCCGTACCTACCTAAGGTAGGTACCTTATGCTCCTGCACCTGGCGCGTAACCCTTGCAGGCCTGGGGCTGGTGCAAGTGCCCTGCACGTACCTAGGTAAGTGGGCATCCAAGGTAAGGTAAGTAAGGTAAGGTAATGTAATGTAATGTAGGTGCCATACCTTACCTACCTTACCTTATGCGTAGAGCGGGGCGATGACAGCCCACACTGTGTCGGGTGTCAGTTCAACTTGTCAGGATCAAAGAACCGAACGCGCCACAGGCTGTTCTTGGACTAGACCAATCAGGATAGGCGCCACCAACGATTCCGGCAGCACAGACAGCCCGATGTACCGATTCGAGCAAACAAACATTCCTCTTGAGCCTCTCTAACCCAACTTCACCAACTGAACAGCTTTTTTTTTTAATGGTTTTTTGTGCCAACGCCTCCCCCTCTGTCGCCTTCGCCTCCTCTCGCCTCGCGTCCCCTTGCATTGCTTTAACCCTGCACCTTCCCAGTCCACTGGCTGGGCCCCGGCATTGCCTGCTTCCCTAGACCTAGCTACCTTTCACTGGCCCTGGGCCCGCTTCCGGGCTCGAACCTCATCTCTTCCTGCTCTCCGCCCCAATCACAATCAAAGCCTCTTGGGTCTGGTCTCTTGTCTGTCTCCCGCCTGGATTGTTCTGTCATGGTACGGCAAGCAAAACGACGGGGGTGGAGGGCAAGGGCGGGGGAGATTGAGCCACATGCTAACCCCCATGACACGGTACGGCCTGAGGGAGGAGGGGTGAGTTACGAAGGGCGATAGCACACACATTGTCAGGGGCTGAATGGAAATAGAGCTGAGGGAAGGAATCGGAATATGTGAGCGAAGAATAAGAAGAGACATGAGCAGGGGCAAGAGAAGGAGGAAAGACAACGTCCATGCTGACCCCGTCCGCTCTATCAGTCTTGGGCTTGGCCGACAGAGAAAATGCCACCGCCGCATTCTTCGGTTACCAGCGCGAACCGGTGGGGGAACATGGTCAGACACGATTCCCGTGAAGATACCCTCGCCAACATAAGATATGACGATGGCACAGGATGGGCCAGCTCACGGCTGCTCGGTGCTGCCCCGAGAGGCACCAGCTCCAACAGCGGCCACTGCCCTGTTGCCAACGACAAGAGAAGCAAGACATGGATATCCATCCGTAAACAGGCGCACGTAGGTGCCCACTCCGGCAGCAAGCATCACATCACACGGCTGATGCCCCTCTCCCCCCGGCGCCGTCATCCCTGCCCATGGTGAATTCCCTGTTGGTCGTTGGCAATCAAAGACCTGCGAGTCCGGTTTGTTTCTATGATTATTACGAGGCTGCTACACTCTCTTGAATGTCAGCTCCCTTGGTGTTCAGAGTGCTAGGCAGGGCGCATTGCAGGGTATTACATGGCAGCTCCCATGGTACGGCATATTAGCCTGGACCATGACAGCAGAAGAGGCACAACCCATTCGTCTTAACCGAAGACGGCCAAACAGATAGACAGACGAGCAGCGGCCGGGGCTTGCTAAGGATATGTGCCTTGCCTAAGGTAGGGTAAGGCTGGTGTACGGCCGCCCGGCGCCGCTTTCAAACCCACATCCGAATGCGGCAATCAGCTAGATGCTCTTTCGGACGCAGAGAAGCCAGCGACGGCATACGACAGAGGCTAAGGCAAGAGAACCAGAGGGTCGCCTTAGATGCACATGCGTAACATGTACACATAAAACCACCCAGCCCAGCCAGATGCTTTTCTTTCATTCCTCCCACCTAGCATCTGATTCAATGAATGAATCTCCTCTTACGACAAAGACAAGGTGTCCTGGGCTTTGACTTGCGTTGCTTCACTTCGCTTCCCGGATGCTTCTGACCCTGGCTTTGGCTCTTGGACCCGGCTTCCCTGACCGGTGATCGGTACAGCATCGCACTCATACCATTCACAACACTCGGATTACCACTTGCCCTCACCACCATCACTCCCATCACCTTGTAACATCATTACTCTCCAGGTCGCAGGGGGCTATCCTTGCCAAGGTTCCCAACGACAAGAAGAAGGAACCCAAAGAGACAGAAGAGGAGAAAGAACCGAGAGGGTAGAAAGAGAAGGCGGCAAGACAACACTGACCCAGCATACCGAACAACTATATTGGAGTTCTGAAGGGAGATCAGACAAGCATCAATATACACGAATTACCGAAGAGACTCCTGGTCCGCTTTTGACATCGACAACTACAGAGCACCCAGCTAGAAGGAAGAGAGAGCTGGATTGAGCGATATCATCAAAGACCATCACCTAGCTTCGATCTCAAGCAAGCAAAACCCCCTTGTCACAAAGACGACAGGCTATTCATAGAGCCTTTCATGCTTGGCCAGTCTTCACCTCACCGCCGCTCCCTAGCAAGCTCGTTCAGTCAAATCTCAAGCTTGACATTGTCGTCGCATCCTGCGTCCCAGGGGAACGGTCCCAGATCACTCGCCTGATCCCTGCTCTTCGGCTGCTTGCGAGGTATTCGTCACTCCATTCCCAGACCTTGCATCCCTTGGCCATACCTCAACTCTGAAGCTGTCACCCGTACTCAGTACATTACCTGGACATCCCCATGCACTAGCCACACCTGCACCTCATCCACATGCAGCTGCAGCTGCAATACAAGACAGACAGCTCATCCCCAGAAGGACACCAGGGCCAGATACACCAGCAGACGCAGGAGTAGAGCAGAAACGGAGCGAGAGACTCAACAGGCCTCTCCTTGTCAGCAGAACTACCAACCGTTGCCATCTCTCTGAACTTCTCACTTGCCTTCCTCGTGCAACTTGATGCACACGCCACCCTCCAAGCACACCCCCCACCAAGCTGCAATAATTTCAGCATCTGCTGAATGTAGATATCTGCAGTGCAGCTCCCCTTTCAACTTTCAATCCTTTCGCATCTCACAGCTGCCGGCTGCTTTCACCTCAAGCATTCACCTTACCAGACTACTGTGCTGTGCAACACTCACATTGGTCGAGCCTTGTCCCCCCCTCATCACCTGGGTCGTCCTGCGACCACTTGATTCTCCCACAAGTACGAAGAACATCTCTCCACTTGAGGATTAGAAACGAAAAAGGGTTGTTGTGGTAACTCCAGGGAACCAAAGAGCAAAACACCCAGCTCATTTGAAGCCTTGGACTACCCCCATCATCAACTTCTTCTTCATTTCGTCATACCTGTCCACATTTCCATCGACTATCAAGTAGTTGGGTATCATCTGACGGGCCAGTCTTTTCTCTTCGTCATTTACCATTTCTCTCACTTGTTGGGATGGCACACAACGGCCCACCTTCTCCAGCCCCTTCAAACGATGACATCTACACCAACGGACTGCATCACATGATACGATCGAACGGAACCACATCGTTTCCAAGAGAGCATCTGCACCCAAATGATATGGGTGGATACCAAACGCCATCTCGATACGGTACGCCTGGTCCTCAACAAGACATGCCATACGATCATACCTCTCCGTACTCCCACCGCGGACATGAGAGCCAGATGGTAAGTAGCAGCCACGTCAAACGCGCTAGAAGATGGACCAAACTGACCTACTGAAGCACTCGTACAACCACACGGCCTATGATACCAGTGGTGGCTCACTCTATGGACCGCTCTCCGGAGACCTAAACCATCAGGTGCGCAATCAACGCAGCAACAAGTGCATGTGAAGTAGCTCACAAGTCTTTTCACAGCCCTACAGTACCCCTGACACATCACCGCCGACGCCCTCCCGTGCGTCTGATGTGCTAACAACCCGAAGCGGACTCAACGTTCACAAAGGGCCTTCTATCAGCAAGCCTCTGGCAACCCGCACTGGCCGCGTTGAGAAATCAACCCCTAGGAAGAAAAAGGAGCGTGCCAAATCGTCCAAGAAGGTTGACGGGCTCCAAAAGCCACTGAGCGAGCTGGCGAGAGAGCAGCCTCAAGTGCCCGTGGCTGACATCGAGGCCTACGTCCAGCGATCGGCGGAAACACGATTGAAAGAGGTGGAAGAGAGCAAGACGCCCGGTAGGATCAAACGGCCCATGAATGCATTCATGCTGTATCGCAAGGCGTACCAGAACTTGGCCAAGAGTCTTTGCACGCAAAATAACCACCAAGTCGTATCTCAGGTCTGCGGTAGCGGCTGGCCCTTGGAGCCTGAACACGTCCGCGATCAATTCAACGAGTGGGCTAAGATGGAGCGAGCTAATCACCAGAAAGCCCACCCGGGCTACAAGTTCACACCATCAAAACCGAGGCCCAAGGCAAGGGACGGAGAGGGAGATTCCGAGGAGGGTGATTTGGAAGATCTCGAATGGGGTGCCAGCCGAGCAAGCTCGAGAAGCAGACAGATCAGGAAGCCGGGAAACGGTCGCAACGATGCGCCGGCATCAATCTTCCACAACTATCCCCCGCTTTCAGGCAGCCCGATGGGTCTTGGAGTGCAGACTCAGTCCATGTATCACTACAGCAACCCTGGCAAGCCTCTGCCAGCACCGTACAGCCAGACGGGCCTTGGTGGGCAGTACTACCAGCAGAGCGTTCATCAGCGACAAGACGCCACCGGTTTCGTCGAGGACGTTCTTATCAGAAAGACGCCATCTCCGGCAATGGGCTACTCCGCACCACCCATGGATGGCCGCTTCGACGGTATGAGCCAGTACGGACCCATGTCCCACCACGACGGCCTCGAGACCATGATTGATCCGGGTTTGATGGGCCATGGAGGTCATCCATATGGTGATCCGTATGGGGATCCCATGCTGGAGCCTAGATGGACGAACCCGCTTGGCTTCGGCGACGGCAGACAGGACCTGCTCGATGGTCTGTCAGGTTATGACGAGAATCTCATGCATGATCCGCAGCTTCAGATCCTGCGGGGGCAAGAGAGCAGCTGGAGGGTGGAGGAGCTTGAAGGAAGCCACTTCAACAACTGGATAGACCAGCCAGAGTGAGTACAACGCGATACAGCACGTTGTGATAGGTGAATGTCGCGTTTCCAGCGTGGAATGAGCTGGCAAACCATAAATGTACGGGTTGCGGGGAGTTTTCTCTCGTGCTTGGATGGCACGTGACTGTTTTACAGGTGGAGTTTGGATCAACATGGAGATTAGCATTGTATGACACCGGTCGAACCCCCGGAGCAGAGTAGAAATGACTTTACACATCTGCGACCAGGTTGAGGGCCTCGTTGCGAATATGCTTTGCAAGTTGGGCATTCCTGTATCCTTGACCGAGGCCTAGATGGTGGCAAATGTGGCGCATATCTACTCATTGCCACTGATGGAAGCCGATATCCGTTCCTCAGTCTCATGCACGGCGGCCGCGAACCACCAGGGCGCATCGAGTTTAGAACTCAAGGCTTCTGCATGGGCGTTGCGACGCGTTGGGGGCCTGTGGCTCACCAATCGATGTTGAAGGGCTAAGGTATCATGTAACGGCCGGCCACTGCCCTGGTCGAAACGTAACTCGAGGTTCCAAGACATCGTATTCGTACATTTTCCAGCGGCGTCTGAACCCCCTTAAGTGCATAATCTCTGTTACAGCCGCACGGCTCATAGCTCGCTTAGCCTTATAACGACTCATGTCCGAGGTAAGCTAGATACCTACTTACCTATTATTATCTGATTTATACAAATGCAAATGCTGAGACCTGCGCCTTGACTCCATCTTCGCCCACTGCCTCAGGAAGCTTTCGCTTGACGCCATACACATCACGACGCATGAAGATACTATGACGTGGATTTCCCGCTCTATTGCTGCCTTTGGGCTTGTGTTGCTGGGTCACGCGTGAGTTCGACCATGCTCGCATTCTCCGCAGCCGTTCATGACTGACGTCGTATCCTATGCAACAGTTGCTATTCAGCCCAGGAGCATACGGCACTACAATCATTCCGAGCCGTATCGCCTTTGTCTTCGTCACCTGATTCAGCCACGACCTCGCTACCCGCAGACATCACGATCGAAACGGCAGTCGCGACCATTATCGTTGTACTGGGACTTGTGCTGGGTGCCCCGAACCTTCGACCGATTCAATGGCGCGTCTGGGCTGGCAAAATCGAGAGGGAGGGTGAGGCAGGGTTCCTCAGTGGCAGCGGTGAGGTTGAGAAAGATTACTTGGGCAACCCCTTTCGAATTCTTGAGAGCCGGCCGGGCTTCGTCGATATCAGGAAACAGAAGGGCGACTTCGCCAATTGGGCTAAAGACGACAAGAAGACCCAAGCAACCACTGCCTCGTCATGAGAGCAGTCTGGTTTGTAGATATCTGGAAGCGGTCACCACGAAGTATTATGGATCTTCTTCTCGACCGGACTAGACCACCAAATATGATACTAGGGGACAATTGATTCAACAAAAACGCACGTCACGAACTAGCCCTGGTTCTTGTTCGACGATGTATGTGTAATGTCGGATGAATGGACATTCTTGGCCGAACGATGTTTGCGATGTGGTTGTAATACTCACCGCCTTGCCCTTCCGCATGTATGAGCTCAGGCTCCCTAACGTCTGGCCGTCGCTTACTTCCTCAAGGGGTGCACCTTCCTCGTGCGAGACGGAGATGCATGGTTGGGGACCTGCACCTGCCACATTTTCTTTTCCTTGTTGCAGTGAGGCAAGTACGTGACTGCCACGCCCTTTCCAGGCCACCGCTGCCAAAGTTGAAAACTTCTATCCTTCTTCCCTGAGGGCGTCTGATTTTGACAAACAACAACATCGTGTTCTCCTCTACTCGCTGCCTCCATCAACCTTCGATCAAACCCTCAAGAGTGCTGCAATGTCTGCCAGTGGCCCGCCTAGTTTCCACTCTCAATACGGTCAAGCTCGTTTGAGGAGCAGCTCGAGCAGCAAGTCAGGACTTCCGTCCATCTTGCGAGGCCCCTCTCAGCACCGCCAGCGACGCAGTCCCAGTCTTGCCGGGCCAATTCGTACTTCGCCCATTTTTCCTACTCCACGGGGTGCTCACTCAGTACGCCGCGGAGACCGGTCGAGTCAGAGCGTACGCGCTGCCGCATCAGTTCAGATTTCGGCTTTGCAACAACACTTGCCTGATGATGGTTTTTCATCGTCTCCGACTAGAAGTCTGCACCCCGGGTTTTCGGCGCAGCCACGCTTGCCCGCTCATGGACAGTGGCCTTCTTCCGGGGAGGCAGCTGTTCCAGAACACTGGTGCGATGAGGTTGTCATGGCTGTTGATGTCAAGGACAAGGGTGCTCTTGGATGCGCCTACTACAGGACTTCTGAGGATACTATCTATCTACTACGCGACGCGCCCGGCACCGGTTTGCTTACTTTCATCAACTTTCTCATGGTTCATGTTGAGCCGACGGTGGTTGTGTTACCTCTGAAGATGCCCGATGAGGTGGTTCGTTTCTTCGAAGAGCACAACATCGTTGCCCGTGAAGGTAGGTTCCTCCGTGGCGATACTGCGGAACAACGCTCAATGCACGGATTAGACGATCCCGGAACTGAGCGCTACCTCCTGCGAACTGTCGGCTCGAATGAGTTCAACCACCAGGCCTCCATCGATAAGTTGATAGACTTGCCACCTATTTGTTCGGGGCCAATTGTGGTGAACACTGCTACCGGTCGCTCGCCGAATGACGTCGCGCAAGGTGAGTGTCGAAATATCAAGCTCATGCGCCTTGGCTCATTCGTCGACCTCGATTGCTTTTCATCAGTAGGTTCAAATTTCGATTCATCAAGAGGCGAGCTCTGGTGGGCTGACACCTGCCAGATTGGGTGTGCCGGGGCCGTTTTGGGTGAAATCGCTCGCATTGGCAACGCTGCTGATGGTCTGTTAAGGGTGCCGGTAGCCTCGATTCAGATGTTTGCCCTTTCGGATTCTATGCTGGTTACCGATGAAACGATTTCTTCGCTCCAAGTTTTCCAATCCGAACTTTATCCGAACAGGTTGATGTCCGGCTTGGCCACAGCGGGCTCCTGCTCAAAAGAGAGCCTGTCAGTTTATGGTCTGTTTCATCCCTTCGCAAGCACTCCTCAAGGGAAGGTCAAACTGCGGCAAATGTTCTTGCGCCCTTCACTCAATCTTGACACGATCCGTGAGAGGCAGAAAACTGTCACGGTCCTGCTTCAGTCCGACAATGCAGAGGCACTCGAGAGTGTGTGCGGAGCCCTGAAGAAGATTCAGGATGTACGAAGGCCTCTGGAACAGTTACGAAGAGGAGCAGATATCCCAACCGTAAAAGCCATTGGCCGTGGTGTTTGGTGGTCTTTGACTCGATTTTCGATTGCTGTTCTTCAACTTCGAGATGCCATGCTGCAGTTGCAACACGCGCATGGCCTTGCTTGCGTACAACAGGTAAGTTCTCTATAAGATTAGACATCCCTTCAACCTGCTAATATGTTTTATTAGGTTCTTTCTATTATTCCCGCTCGTGTTATCAAAGGCGTCGCTGATAAAGTCGACTCTATTATCGATTTTGACGAAGTCAAGGCTAGCTCGAGGATTGCAGTGAAGCCCCATGTCAACGTGCAGCTTGACAAACTAAAGCATGACTATCAGGGCTTGGATTCCCTTCTGAACGATATACGCAAATCAATGTCACAAGAACTCCCTGAATGGGCTCGGCCATATGTCACTGGCTGCGTCTTTTGGCCACAGCTTGGCTTTTTCACGGTGGTCTCTCTTCGCCAAGATGGCACACCCGCGTACATGGGACAGGAGCTTTATGATGACAGATGGGAAGTTATGTTCATCACCGGGGGTAGCGTCTATTTCAAGAACCGCCGCATGGCAGAACTGGACGCTCAACTAGGTGACCCCTATTCGGGAATCGTAGGTACGTACGTACTGATGTTTTGGCACCCAACGAGAAGACCTGGTTAAGATTTGGCGAAGACCTAGAGATACAGATTCTTCACGACCTCGCCTGCGAGGTTCTTCAACATGCCCCCGTCCTAAATCACGCCGCGGATGCGTGTGGCGACTTCGACTGTTTGGTGGCTTTAGCACGGGGGGCTCGGAAGTATGGTTGGACGGCTCCAACGATGACAACCGACAATGTTATATCCATCCAGGGCGGACGCCACCCGCTTCAAGAACTGGCCGTACATTCATTCATCGCAAATGATTGCATGCTGGAGGGGGGTTGCGGTGACCCTCGAGGTCACCATGGCGAAACTACGACACTCGTCATTACTGGGCCCAATCATTCTGGCAAGAGCGTCTGCATCAAACAAGTCGCTCTTATTGTCTACCTAGCCCATATTGGAAGCTTCATCCCGGCAAGTTTTGCTACGATAGGAATTACGGATCAGATTCTCACTCGCATCTCGACGCGGGAGAGCGTGTCACAGAAGGAAAGCGCTTTTGGGACTGACTTGAGACAAGGAGCCTTTGTCATGCGGCATGCTACTCGCCGGAGTCTCGTCGTGATTGACGAGTTCGGTAAGGGCACTACGGCCGACGATGGAGCCGGGCTTATGGCAGGACTCATTGACCACTTCACTGCGCTCGGTACCGATGCGCCTAAGGTACTCATAACTACGCATTGTCATGAGATTTTCGAAGGCGGATACCTGCGAGACCGGCCAGGTCTAACCTTTGCTTATATGGACGTGCGTCTCGACCTAGCTGCCCCAATAGACGACCAGGTAGTTTTCCTTTACGACCTTCGTCTTGGAAGAAGCACATCTAGCTTCGGTAGCAATTGCGCGGCAATCAATGGGGTCAGCAAAGCCGTAGTTGAGCGAGCGGAAGCGATTATACTGTTGTTGGCGCGAAACGAAGATCTTGGGGCAGCGTGTGCCAAATTGGATGACGAGGATCTGGCACGTCTCCTAGAGGCCGAGGCAGTCGCCAGGAACTTCATTCAGCTGGCTATGGGCGATAAAGTCGAGGCTCCAAGGGAGGTATTGGGGCATTTGCTGTGGCGAGGTTAACATGTGTTCTGTGCGCCCTGGTAGTAGACTCTGTCAGTGATTTGACGAGGGCTTGCGGATAGAGAGCTGTATTCATTAAGCAAAGCAGATTGTCGGCTGTTATAAATATGAGGTTCGGATGGCGTGATGAAAATTCTCCAGACGAAGCGGCTGGAGACTGCTTAAGTTTACTCCCCTGTCTTTGTCTAATGCGGTTTGCACACTGTCCATCGCAATTAGGCGCCGACGGTTTTAACCGCCGGGAACCAACACAACGTCGCCTGCATCCCGGAGAAACTCAGCAAATCAAACGAGACAGCGCAACAGGGTCATTTGTTTAGCCACGATGCTCAGCGGCAGGGCGGAGATATCTGCTTGATCTGACGAGAGACAGCTCTCGATGAGATTTTCCCCCTCCGAGATATTCCACGTCCTCGCCCATTTCGTTCGCGTCGCCTGACACTTGACAACTTCCTGGTCATCATCCCCACGCAAAAATGGCAGCCCATACGCCAAGGAAATCGCCCATCAAGTTTCATGACCTTGACCAGAAGGATGTTTACGACAAGGCTATGGGTGAGACGGATAGTGAGAAGGCCCGTAACTTTGTTGTTGAGTTCAGCCATCAGCAAGCCACCATAGCCTTCGACCTGAGCGCAGATGATTTTGGCATTCTTCTGGGTCACGAACCACCCGACGGCGTCATACGGTGGATCAACGTTTGGTCACCAAGTACACAGCGTCCAGCTGTTGAGTGCATTGGCACTCATTATAGCTTTTCACCGCGACTTCGGGCTCTCATGACGTCTGCTACGAAGGCATCTGTGGCAGAAACCACGACTTCGGTCCAGCGTGTTAACCACGCGGATGTTGAAGCTGGATCCGTATCAACGGAGGCTAAGAGTGCTTCGCCAAATGACGCCCGGACACAGATGTCGGAAGACACTGAAATCTATCACCTAGTCAAGGAAACAATGAACTATACCTCCATAGATCATGGAAAGCAATGTATGTCGTGAAACATGTGTCTCCGACGCTTCAAAGGGGCCATTAACCAGTCTTTAGTCCTTTGCATTGGTGCAAACTGGCTACACCGTCGACCAATCAACCCTAGGCATGCGGAAGACAAGGCAGGGTTGCTTCCGCCAAAACATTGGTCATGGCTCACGCTTTGTTCGAACTGTAAGTCCTGCATCTGAAGTGGCCGGAAAGTTGACGTCTCGCGGGCATCTTCTGACCCTCCTCAGCCGTTGTCTTGTCATTGCATGAGACACCGCCATATGTCTACCCAGGAGATGCGAAACTGGCAGGTGAAGAGTTAAGAGGCATGCGGTCCAACACCATGGCGGTGCTTCGCCAACTGTCCAAACACGGTGTCGACGACTACAGCAACAACGTCATCACACTTAAATCAGTCAGGCAAGCGTTGCCTACTGCAGGGCCCGGGTGCAATGCCGCACGAGAAGGCTCAAGTAACCTGTATTGTACACCCTTCCAACGATTGAACATCTTCATTCCTTTGGACTGTGCTGAAGAATTGAAATATAGGTTCTTCTACCTGTTCGAGGACTATTCAGGGGCGGTACCGGTGCTGGCAGCTTCACGCGATCGAATCCACAGTCTGGCAAGTACCAACCAAGATGCGCAAATTTGCACGCTTTTCTGACCATGTGGATCATAGAGAGAGAAAATTCTTGCAAGCAATGTAAGTGATTTAGAAATGCTCCGCCATCCCTCGGAGAGTTTCTGCAAGCTGACGTATAGGCAGAGTAGGAGAAGCAAGTTGAAGAGCGGTGATGTTATTCGACCCTTGCACACCCTCAGGAGGGAACTTCGCCAGCTTCATCACCTGTTTGAGAGCTACAAGAGCCTCATAAGGCGCATCTGTAGACCTAGATGCGGCGACGGCCACAAGCAATGTCCCTGTGCTGCCTTTGAGTCACTAGGCGGCTTATCGGATGAAGTCAAGATATCTTCGTCAGCAAGGGGTCGCTTTGAACGACTCGAGGATCGGTTGCAGTTGTTGATGCTGAACACAATGCACGAGCACTTGGATGAGCTGGACGCTTTGTCAAATACGGTAGGCTCTCATTATGCCATACAATACAATGCGGCTATCGAAAGCTTACGGAGATACTCCATCTTTTAGTACTTCAACCTGACGGCTCAAAAGGACTCCCAGGCCACCGCCCGTCTAAGCAGGAGCGCCACCCTCCTTGCTAAGCTGAGCGTTTTCTTTCTGCCCATAAGTTTCATGACTAGCTACTTCTCCGTTGAGATACCAGGCCTTGTAGAACACTACACACCCAAGATGTACTGGATCTGCTTCGCTATCATTGCTGGCCTTTCTTTCCTCAGCCTATTTTTCTTTAGCCGCATGTTGGAGTTTGTCATCGACATTCTTGAGGCGTGGACGGACTCTGTGACGAGCAGGTTTCTTGGAATACGGGAACCCGTTGAAAGGAACGACGACTAAGGTAGTGACGTGGTGAGGGGTGCGGCGATGGTATCGTGGAAGCAAAATTTTGGTATCGTGGTATCATTGTCGTATCATTTACTCTTGTGTCCGCAGCGAAACTCCAGTACACAACCTTCAGATGAAAAGCAGAGGAGGGATCTCATGTCACCTGCCCTAGGAAACTCAAGAAATCATGTCAACGACGAGTTCATCTGCAGTGAAGTTCATCGCATGACGCCAAAGACGGCGACTCCGATGCCGGCAACCATTCCAGCCACGGAAGCTGGTGTCGGCCGGGCAGCCGCATTTATCACGACTCCACCCACTGTGGTCGTCTGTGAGCATTGGTCGTATGCTATGCCGTGGCAGGCGCGAGAACTAAGACTGGCGCAAATCGGCGTGGCGGAGGTTCCGACGTCCACCCGGGTGGCGGCGACGGTGGTGCCGCCTCCACCGGGGATGACGACAGTGACGCCGAAGCCTGTATCGCCGTCCAGCTGGGTGACGCAGCTTTCATAGTTTCGGGAGCACTGCTGAACGGCGTCGGAGCACTCGCCTCGGTCAAGGGAAGTGGCGACGAACGGGAACGGGAAGTAAGAATTGGGCACGTATGAAACGGCGGTGGGAGCGGCCGGTGCCGTTGTCGGAGCGGCGCCGGTACAGACAGCTCTGTCGGCATAGCGCACGTTAGTTCTCAACGCTCATATGGCTTGCATAAAAACAAGAGTTTGCGCTTGAGGTCATTCATACCCAGAGGGACAGCAGGCTGCATTATTGCTGTCATCATATGCGCAGAGCTGCCCCGTCGCGCAACAGACGCCGTCGAAATCCTCGCCCAAGGAACTGGAGCAGAGACTTGTTCCAGCAGGGCAATCCTGGCGCCTAAACAGCAATGCTTCGCCAGCTCGGTAGGCGGCAGTTGGGACTGCAGACTGGGTTCGGGTCGGAGTTGGGTTGGCGGTCGCAAAGGATGGATCTGTTGCAAACAGCAGCATAAGCCGCTTCGTCCAAATGGAGACTTTCATGTCGGAGGTTTGTATGTGTGCTAGTTGCCAGCGACGGCGTTGAGGTTGGATCGCTGTGTGGTTTCCCCCGCTGGTATCCAAGGTTTCTATCCAAGGTAGGTTATTACGGTACGACAGCTTAGTAGGTGCAGAATGCAAGTGAAGCAGCGTGGGGTGAAGTGAATCAGGCCCCAAAGGAGATGGGAGGCGACAAGAGAAGGAGGCGCCGGGTTACTTTCGTCCATAGCGAGGAAAGCCGCAATGTTTTATTTCTCCAGGTCCTAGCTGCCCCAATACGACGTTAAAGCCTGTCCACATGCATCACCGGCTCGTCGCTAGGCACGGGTATCGCACCATCCGGACCTTCCCTGTTGGTGTGATTTTGACGGTCGGGTCCATATCCGTACTTTGTCAGCTAGCCCTGGCAGAGGTCTCCTCCGTACGGTGGGATCGGCTGCGTCGGGCAGTGTGCATCGTATCAGGGAGACGGCCAACCCCAGCCCTGTGCATGCCTCCTGGGTGGGATGCATGCATGCGCTCAGCAAGCCTGTGAGAGATAGGGCCAAGACGATTGAGGGGGGTTGGGCTTCGCTGGCGGCTGGTCGGCGGGCAATTGGGGAAGATGGACATTCATCCGCATGATGTCATTGGACCATGCCGAGTTGGCCCAGCAACCACCACCTCTCACCGCCGCCACCCTCTCGTCCAAGACCTTTCACGTCCCTCTCCCTCGGTGTCGTATTAACCGTGTGGTCCCCGAACATGCGCTAGAATCTGTCTGAGCCGCTGGAGCGCCTTCATATCGGTTCTCCCCTGTCCCTGCCCATGCTCCCGCGCCTTCTCGACTTCCTTTTGGGCCTCTCGGACGAGGGAACCGAGATCTCCCCAGACCTCGTCTGTGTAGCTCGTAAAGACGTCGCGCCAACTGTCCATCCACAGCTCCTTTGCTTGTTCCGGGTCAACATTGCCAAAATGATGTTGGATTTCAGCAAGGTTGTCTCCCATCAAGAGGTTGGGCTCAAAGTCAAGAAGCATGGTCCAACTCGAGCTCTTTCCTTCGCTGGCGCCGAACAATGCCTTTCTCAGTGACGACTTGGTGCAAGTGGATACAGAGGACTCCTCACAACTGTCATTGTCATCGAACATATGTAGCTCGCTAGGCGCGTCCAGAAGATCCCTGACCTGTTGGCCATCTCGAGCTTCTTGTTCACTTACGGCTGATTTGACACACAGTTGAGAGGAGATCAGAGCCTTTGGTTGTCGAGGTCGACTCACGTCATCTGGACCTGCTTGGGCGTCCATAAAGTCGACGAATTGATGTTCGGCCACACTAGATGAGTGGCGCGACTGAAGAGATGTTGGCCTGGAACCAGACCCAACGGTATTCTCATCATGATAAGTTGCCGTGTGTTCTTGGTGAGCGAGATTTTGCGCTGCGATGGCCGGCCACTGTGGTTTTTCTGTGCTTTCGCTGGGGAGGGTGGCCCACCGACTTGTCAACATGTTTCGAGACAGACTGGCAGCTGAAGTGGCCAGGCGAGAAGTGAAAGATCCGTTTTCTGATGAGCCGTGACCTTGCTGATTGTCTCGTTGGTCTTGGCCGTCGTCTGGAGGCAGCGATGAAAGGATGGGCTCCTTTCCTTTGCCTTTGGAGTCAGGTGCAGCTGAATGGTCGTCTTGGATCATTGCAAACGAGCATGGGTTTTTGATTTTCTTCCCCTCTTTCTTCTTCTTTTCAATTCCCTGAGGGGTAACACAAAAGCGGCAGGAAGACTTTATGGTCTCATGAATTCCCAGGCGACGCAGTTGGGCGAACGCCAGCTGGAAAACGTAACCGAGGTTCTCCCTCTGTTTAGCGTCTGGATTTTGCAAAGCAGCACGTGCCTAGCCGACCCAAAACGGAAGGATAGTATGTTAAGCCCCCAATCTCTTAAATCACCACAGGCGATGCTAGTAGTCTGTATGCTGATGGGACCATAAATCTACACAGAAACTCACTGCTACCTATAAGGAATACATGCTTTGCGTCCATAACAATATTGGGCATTTAGCTAGTAAGCTTTGGTAAGGATACATGAACTCAATATTTGCGGTCTCAAGCACAGTGTAAATCATTCCACAACATGTGGCAGCATGGCTGAGTGGTCTAAAGCGCTAGACTTGAATTACAACAATTCAGATATCTAGTACCTTCGGGTGCGCAGGTTCGAACCCTGCTGCTGTCGTTCACCAATGGAGTTTTGTTGTTTTTTGTTCCTAATAAACACCCGCCCGCAGGGTACCGTAACAAGTGATGAGCCTAACGGCCCTACGCGTGGTGAGGAGGTAGGAATTCGACACATCCTACTCAATACCACCTATCTATACTCAGGTACCTCAGGCTCTCACCTACCTTATTTATTATGTACCTAGAGGCTGGGTGGTTTGCAGCGTCAATTATCCACCCATGTGTCCAGCCCAACCTTACCTTCTTCCTTCCTTCCTTACTTACTTACTTACCTAAGGCGTCTTCGCATCACCTCTATCTGTACGTACGTACCTAAGACACCTACCTACCTCCCACGCACACACCACACACGTACCCCAACCTCAACCTGGCGCATTCTTGCCGCACCCTGTCTCTTGACTGCCCGCATCTGCGATACCCCCCCTCCCGTCAATACCGTGCACCGTCCTACGCCTTTTCCAGGTCGCCAGACTTTTGAATCCTAACTTCTGCTCCTGCCTGTCGCTGCATCTGACGAAATCCAGACGTCTGTCGATTTTGCAAATCCAATCTGCACTCTACCAACGACGTCGGCTGGGTACGCCTTCTCACCGTCCAAACCATACCGAACCGAACCAAATCACGCCAAACCAATTCAATTTAGGCCACAGCAACCAACCATCTACATCCTTCTTACCTGAGCTTGGTCTCCTCCCTTCCTCTTCGTTTTGCTCGACCGCCCAACCCCGATCGTCGACTTCGTATTCTTTTCTAGGCTTTTAGCAACGCAGTTCGCCCGCCCGCCACAGTTGCCCCTCGCTCTTGTCAGCGTCTTGCGTGTTTTTGCACCAGTTGCGCGCCCCCGACTCGACCACAGCCATCAATCATTGCTCTACCTTATCGCCTCCTGGGCCTGCTTGTGTCGATCTTGTGGCCTGTACCAGCCCTATCAGTCTGCTCCCAACGCTGAACGACAGCATCCCGTCTGCCACACGCCTAGAGCTCGCTCTGCTCTCGACGTGCCCCGCCGCCTCGCTTGATTCCGAAAAGCCCCATATACCATACGAAAGCCTCTCCGGAGCTGGAAAGCAAAGATGGTGGACAGTGACACGAACTCTCCCACGTGGAAGTTCACCCAGTATGTATTCTTCTTCCCCATTCATCCGAGATGCATCTTTGCCCACTTCCATTCCCTCTTCGTCACTTGCCGCGCTCTCGCTTTGGGTGATTGCTCACATGGTACAATAGGTGCTTTGGAGACAAGGGCGATGTGGAGGACATCACCGAAGGTGAGCCGTAGTAAAGGGCCCTCCAGCGGCCAACATGGCAATTCCACACCGCTCAGCCGCCGCTTTCCCACTCTGTCCAGGTTCCGTTTGTCTGACGACGTACTCTTCTAGCTGATATTATCTCGACGGTCGAGTTCGATCACACGGGCAATTACCTCGCGACAGGAGACAAGGGTGGAAGAGTTGTTCTGTTTGAGCGAAACGAGACGGTGTGTCGGAGCCAACTGCTGTTGACCCTGAGCCAGGCTAATTACCTCGAATAGAAAAAGACTTGCGAATACAAGTTCCACACGGAATTCCAGTCTCACGAACCCGAATTCGACTACCTCAAATCCCTTGAAATCGAGGAGAAGATCAACAAGATCAAGTGGTGCCGCCGCCAGAATGCTTCCCACTACCTGCTCTCAACGAACGACAAGACCATCAAGCTGTGGAAGGTCTTCGAGAAGTCGCTCAAGGTTGTCGCGGAGAACAACCTATCCGATGACTTAACGCCCGCGAATATCGCCGGTGGCGGCG